AACTTGAAAAAGCTGTGGAGCTCGCCCGTAAAATCGGAGGGGTTCAAAAAGTCATTTCTTATGTGCGTGTTAAAGAAGGCAGTGTTGCCCCTTCTGAATTCCGAACAACAGAAGCAGACCAGAAAACACAAGTTGCTGAAGGAAATAGCTCCGCAACAACAGAGACACAAGTTGCCTCCTCCAAAGTTCAGGTTCAAAGCTTAGATGAACCAAATAACATTTCTTCCTTTGGCTAAAGGTTATGACTTCTCATCGCGGTCTCCATATTGCTTTTCAAATGGATCCTCTAGAGTCTTTGAACTTTCGAACAGACTCAACGCTCCTGATAATGAAAGAAGCCTATAAAAGAGGGCACACGATTTTCTTTTACACTCCTGAGAACCTTAGCCTTTGCGAGGGAAAGCTTCTGGCCAAGGGATATCACATCAATTTTGAGGGAGGAGTTCTGAACGCAGCGGTTCAAAAAGAAATGTTCGATCTTTTTCAAGCGGATGTTGTTTTTATCCGTCAAAACCCACCTTTTGATATGGGGTACCTCAGCGCTACCTATCTTCTAGATTTACTCCCCCAAACAACCGTTTTTGTCAATGATCCAACAGGCATTCGAAACAGCTCAGAAAAACTCTTGGCAACCCACTTTCCCGAGATTACACCCCCAACCTTGATTTCTCAAGATACTGAAAACATTCAAGATTTTATCGAAAAGCATAAAAAAATCGTTCTCAAACCTCTCTATGGTTTCAGTGGACAAGGGATTTTCACATTAAAAGCTCAAGATCCTAATTTAGAGCCTCTTTTAGACACCTTCCTAACGCACTCCAATGAACCTTTTGTCATACAAAAATTCCTTCCTGAAGTGGTTGAAGGAGATGCTCGCATTTTGCTTATTGATGGAGAACCTGTTGGGGGGATCCGACGCGTCCCTAAAAAAGGCAGTTTTCGCAGCAACATATCTGTTGGTGGAACGCCAAAACCCTATACTTTAAGCCCTCGAGACAAAGAAATTTGCAAAAAAATTAGTCCTACTTTAAAGGAGAGGGGTCTACTTTTTGTGGGCATAGATGTGATCGGGGGATTCTTAATAGAAATCAACACAACCTCACCAACAGGCATCGGACCTTTAAACAAAATGGACGGCCACAAAGTTGAAGCCCACCTGTGGAATGTGATTGAAAAAAAGCACAAATCAAAGCAGAAGAAATAACCTTTCTAAACGGCTTGATATCACTGAATCCATTGAATTTTGTTACAAACGCAAAGGAGCGAAGTGCATTGAGATGTGTGGCGCATAACAAACGATAAAGAGACCGCTATAAAACGATCCCCTATAGAAAAAATCCATACAAAAAAGTTCTTCAGCAAAGAGTGGTTCATCCCCCTGCTTTTTTTCACTACACAAGCCCTACTCTATCAAGTCAAGGTCCGCATTTATGAAGAAGCACAGAGATTCCTCTATATTTGCTTCCAATTATTCACTATCAATCTTCATTAAGACCATATCGATTGATATCAGGGTCAAAAATACTCATCGGCTCACTGTTGAGAAGCCAAACACCTTCTCCTTGACTCCCTCTCACAACTAGTTCTTTCTGGCCATTTACAGCACGGTAAGCAAGTTCCGTAAAATCTTCTTCATCTTTCTTAAATTCGACTGCAACACTCTCTGCCCCTATTATAGAAAATTTCCACACACCCTCAAAAGGGTTACCATTCAAGATCAAAGGCGTTTGCCGTGGATAAATTTCTATAGAACGAATCGATGTTTCCTTATTTCGATTTGGGCAAATCATAATATGCTGAGGCTCAAGTTCGCTGATATCAGGACGGTAGCAAATGCAAAAGTCCTCAAAATTAAATCTCTTTGCTTGAAGGTATAGAGGCATCGAATTCGGAGCATACAAAATACTATTTCCAATTTGAATTTTTCCCCCGTCCACAGCACAGAACGTTGACTCGATTTCTTGCTCCTGCCCTGGAGAAGCAAATCCAAAGTGGGTATTATTCTGTTTTCCCTTTAGGGTTGGTGTCTAAAAGCCAAGATTTTGCGGATAATGGATTCCCTTTTTTATATTGCAAAACGAGTATTCCACCAGAAGGATCAAAAGCTGTCGTCCTAAAATACCAATCACGATTTGGATCCATAAGCTTAATCTGAGTACTTGGAATAAAGAGAGAATGAGGAGGCGTCCCTGAAACATCTGATTTCCAGTATCTATCTTCCCAATACTCTGTAATCCTGTCCTTTACGGTTTCCACAAGTTCTTCAGGATTCTGCCCCTCCTTTATTATGACACGGATTGATTGATCACGACTAGAATAGCTGAGAGATAACGTTTGGCCTTCATCAATCTCCATTGCAAAAGGATCACTTCCATATCCACAATCAAAATATGACGCTGTCGCCTTAAAACAGGCCAAAATACAAATAACTGTTAAAAGTCCCTTCTTACATGCCACCATTCTTTTCCCTTTCCCTATTTTAATTTGTTGTCCCTGACATAACATCCTGCCAATTCAATAGGAAAGCAAGAAATTTTCAAAGATATTTTTCTTAAAAATCAACAGATTATCATAGATTTAATGGGTGGTGGCGTTAGAAATGATCGAAGAAACTTATTAAAACATAAGTGGTGAGAGAGTAACGATTAGAGAGTGCCAATTGAAAAAATGTAACCATCGAAGAACCACGATTCCAATATATGAATCCAAAAGCGTCCCCATTTTATAAAGCGCAAATAAATTCACGGAAATGCCTCCATAAGAATCTCACAGAAGTGATTCTTCCCTCAGCACAAAGGAATCTCTCTGCTTTTTGTTTCGCAGAGGAATTCCTCCTTTGCGCCGCATGGCTTTTTTCAAAATAGGTCCAAAATTTCCTGGCGTTCCAAACGGTTGCCCGCAAGGTCGTGTCCTTTAGGGTACAAAAGAGCACGTGCAACGCAGAGTGCGCTTGAAATGGTTGTCCTCAGGAAAATTTAGACGATTTTTAAGCCGACCCAGCGCACTTTGTTGACACAC